GCAACATGTCACAATACATTTGTGGTTGCATTACCAAGGCACTATCTCACCCCACTGTTTTTAATTAATTTTTTTAATTCGCTTATTGGGGGTGGGGGGTGGAGTTCAACTGTGTCCATTCGGCACGGCGGCCACTGATTGGCATATTGTACCTGCCCCGTGTGATTGATGATGAAGAATGTGGTGGAATGAAGATTGGCAGAGGAAACCGAAGTACTCGGAGAAAACGCGGCCCAGCGCCACTTTGTCCACCACAAATCCCACTTGAACAGACCCGGGATCGAACCCGGGCCACCGCGGTGGGAAGCCAGCGACTAACCGCTTCAGCTATGGCAAGGCCTCACCCCACTGTTATAAAAGCAACAAAAATGATTGTTACATTTTGTAGAGAGCTGTATCACCATCAGCTGTGAGGTGAGCTTCAGGCCCGTTCCATCTCAGAACGAATCTTTCCATCTTCTTTACGTTTGTCTGTATATGCCGCAGGTTAATACTACATAAATGCTTGGGAAGCCCTGTTATGCCTCATTCGTAAGCGTTCATGCAACTGGTTCTTATAGTCTTGTAAAAACTTTATTCGATAAGTAAATTTCCCACTTGGGCACGTATCGTATTGCTGTGCTTGCCGTTATAGAGGCTGCGCTCAGAAACTCTTAGAAATTTGATTTCTGCTGTTTCAGTACGGCCTTTTATCTGTTCATGGTACTGTATAAGAGCCTCCTTTTGCAGTAGAGGAACACTTGATATGTATACGTAATAATATTCTGCAAGTCTCGCATCTTATTTGTTGCGTACCGCTTAATGTTTCTTATGTATTGTCACGCGCATGCGTGTTACTACAGAAGGGTTTCGGGTTGATTATCGGATTTATTGGACTCTTGATATAGAGCGTGACTACAGTTTACGATTCATTATTACACACATGCATATTACTGACCACAGTCACACCTTCACTAGCCATTGCTAGGTAGCGGCTTCCAACTAACTACGTTCCCCTTCCTCTGGGTTCCCAAATTATCCCCTGCTTACAGCAACAGCTGACGACTGAACCCCAGCAGTTCACTAATTCACTCACCAAATCAACTCATTTGATATGACTGCACTCAATCTGATCCCCAGGAGTTCTCTAACTCACTAACTCACTCACGAAACCAACTCATCTCATATGACTGAACTTATTCCTCACTAACTCTTCTGCTTACATCTCGGCACGGACCGCACAGAAAACACCGTTCGCTAGTAATCCACCCACACTGGCCGGTGCCTCAGCTTCAACTCTAACCATCCGCCGCATGTGAAAAGAGGTTTGATTCAAAGTCTGCACAACAGAGCTTGCACCATATGCCAAGAACGACAAGACCTGGTTAAAGAAATCGGCACTCTGAGAAGTGTCTCCAGCTCAACTGTTATCCGCAAGGTTTCATTGACTCGGTCGTTAACTCCAAGGGTAGCAGTTGTCCGAATAAAGAGCAAAAGCCCCAGGGCTCTGTGTACATCCCATATGTGAAGGGTGTTTCTGAGAAGTTCAAACGTACAGGAAGTCCCTACAACATCAGGACGATCTTCAGAACTAAACACACACTCATGAGAACCAGGCCGGAAGGAGACACGCAACAGACGACACAGTGCGTCTACAGTATTCCCTGTGAGTGGCAGAAGCTATACCGGGGAACCAGGGAGGCCTCTAGCCATGCGGCTTCGTGAACATGGGCACAATGTCCAACAGGGTCTTCTAGACAAATCAAAATTAGCCCTACATGCCTATGAAGACGGTCACAGAGTAGGCTGGGATGAAGCCAGAATTTTGGAAATTAAAAGTAACAGCAGGTACAGGAAATATAAGGTATCGGCCCATGTGGCATGCTTAACCAATCCAATCAGCCAACCCAGTTTGGACATTTCTCCTATCTGGATACCCCTCATCAGCAGTGAGGTTTCTAACTCACAGAGTAGATCTGTATGACATGACAGACTTTTCATACGTTTCCATAAGGTTCCAGTCTCAAGTGTTCAGGTTACTTCACAGATGGCACTAGTGGTAGATATTACATGTCTTCACAATTTTTCCCCATTTCTTCGCATTGGTGCTCATGCACTTCTTTTTTGTCGGCTAGGTTTCTAACAAAAATTTCTACCTCCTTTTCTATCCTAGTTCCACGCATGTACGTGCTCTATCACAACTTTTATTTTCTGGTTTCTTGTTATCTCCCACTGAAATAGCCTATGTTAAATAGCTGGGCAAATCTGACGGGAGTTGTCCAGTGATTGAGATTAGCTCTTTCTAAGGAGCCCAACTGAATAGGTGTCTTTCTTCCTCACCAGAAATCCCGTTTCCGAACCATCGTGTTTTCTATTTTCCAGAATTCCGGGCGATAGAAAAGTCCAGAAACCCAGTAATTCTGTGTTATCCACCATCGCCAGAACCGTTTAGAATCTACTAGTATAATACATTTTCGAAAATTCCACCGTCACCATCAATACACTTTGCAACTCGTGTGAGGACATGGCGTGTTGTTCGTCTGTAGAGTGTACTGTGTACTGCACACTGAAACAGCTCTATCTCGGTGCAACTCGTCTGAGGACATGGCGTGTTGCTCGTCTGTGCAGTGTACAGTGTACTGTACAGTGAAATAGCTCTATCTCGGTGCCAGTCGTGTGAGGACATGGCGTGTTGCTCGTCTGTGCAGTGTACAGTGTACTGTACAGTGAAATAGCTCTATCTCGGTGCAACTCGTGTGAGAACATGGCGTGTTGTTCGTCTGTAGAGTGTACAGTGTACTGCACACTGAAATAGCTCTCTCTCGGAAACAGTTTGGAATAGGACTCGTGTACATACGTATACAGGGATTTTTTGCTTCGAATGACCGATTCTATGACCTTCCAGAGTATTGACCTTTCCTCTTGGGTCACAGTATATATCAAATGTTCTATCAGTCCTATTTAGTGCCCATTTGTCAGTTCCATACATTAGGACATGGACCACCATGACTTCATAGAATTGCAGCTTTACAAGGTGCGACAATTTAGTTCCCGGAATGGACCTGTGAAAGAAAAATTTGCTTACATGTGCACTAGCGGCTGCTGTCACCTTCAGAATACTCTCTTGGTGAAGATATGCACTTCGTGAGGTGATGGTGCCACTGCCGGAAACTGTCTTGAAAATCGTTTTCCGGAATACCTCGCAGTAACGTTATCACGTTACATTGGATGTCAGGAATGTCAGCAAATCTTTGTCCCGTTAAGGCATTTTCTAATTTTGGAAAGGGTCAAAAATCGCAAGGGAGCTAAATCAGGTGAATAAGGTGGAGGTCAATTTTTGTAATTGGTTTCTTACTCCGGAACTCGCGAACATCCCGTTGAATTATCACGTGTGTTACACTAGTTCTATATAGTGTCGGGATTCAGAGAGTTTAAAATATTAACTGAGAAAAATTCGGGATGAATCACCTCTTTTATTCTAAACTTTTCTCACTGCATAGATGAAACAAGTTAGGAAATATATATATATATATGCATGGCGTAACAGTTTCGGCGCCTTAGCTCTGTTAGAGCATAACAATCGCTTTCTTTAAATCTCAATCGCCCTAAGACCTACAGGAAAATTATACTGAGTGTGAAAGCTGCATTTCATTATTCTGTATAAATTTTCCCGACAGAATTTTCATTCCAATGGCCATTTAGCCTGTAAGGATCAAAATATGCCAGGGACATGCGGAGGTCTTCATGTAAATTGGCCGTTATTGTTGTCAAATGTAACCCAAACTAGAATGTATCGGGAAACTTTAGTAAAACTCTCCAGTACCAAAATTCAGGAAAATCCATTCAATCATTCTCGAGTTGTTGCA